TAATGTGATAGGTCATATTTTTAGTTTACCTTATTTTGTGGAATAACGTAAGTTAGGTACATATTTGAATAATTAAGATAGATGCATATTGTGTTGTCATTGTTATGTGCTGTCGAGTCACCTGTGACTCATAACAACCCTATGCACAATAGTTCTGATCCCTGTCCTATCTTGAGGCAACCTCATTGATTCCAACAAACCTATCCTTATTCCCCAGTCACTGTGTCAATCTGTCTCATCCAGGATCTTGCTCTCCTGTACTGTTCCTCCTCCCTTCCAAGCATGATGTTCTTCTCCAGAGACGGTTCCTCCTGACCACATACATAGATGAATTTATATAATCATATTCATGAAGTCTGACTATTTTGTTCATAGTTAAGACTGTAATTTCTCTCCTACATACGACATCTGCTGGGGACCAGTAGGTTAGGTGTTTTAATTAAGCGTAATATGACTGTGCTTATAACTGTTAGATAAAATATTTTTATATAATTGGTACTATTTGTTTAGAACCTTGTTTTCTCGGTTGTAACTTATTCCATTGGATGCTACCACTTAGCCATGCTATTTACTGTGAAATAAGTGAATATTCACTGTGAAACACTATTATTTTTTGCCTAAACTTAATCCAAATTGAAATTTGGAAGTAGATGTTTATTCCTTCATGTGTACAGATAAAATTTCTGAATTTACTGGAGTGAAACAGAATGACTTTTCTTCTAAAGAGAATATGAAGGTAAGTTCATTATTGTACTAGCCTTTGTAGTACATAACAATAGTTGTAACTTACTGATAAATAGCCGCTTCCATGAAGTGTTGTCACTCTTTACAGCTTATAAATTAAATAAAGATTTCTTCCTATAGTAGGTTGAATAAACTCTTAATTGGTTTTAATTAGTCCCAATTAATCCCACAAATTCTGGAAGCATCAGCTTAGTCTTGCATTGTTGTTGTTGTTAAGTGCCATATACAACCAGATAATTTAATCATTCTAAATTGTAGCTTTTTTTATATGTAAGATAAGGATGACTATACCTGCCAGAATTGTATGATTTAAATATGGTGTTCAAAGATAGTATTAAATTATCTTCCCTTTTGTTTGCACCCTCTTAGTTAAATTTCTGTGTGGTTAAAAGACTGAAAGATGATTTTATCAATTTGTCTTAGCAGATACAATCTTCTTTGCAAGATACCACCTCAGTCCATCAGGTGCCACATTCATGTGGAATACCACCAAACCACCACCAGCCAGCATCTAATCATCAAAAATGTGATAGTTTACAGAGTGTGAAAAACACTTCACCTTTACAAACTCTGCCTCCCTCAGGTAAGGCATAGTTACTAGAGTATACCACCAACAAGCAGATTATCCAGTAGTTGGATTTAAGAGAAGGAGAAGAGCTTATTGGAGACATTTGATATGCCGTAGCATATCTACTTGAAAATATTTAAGATACAACTAGAAATAAGGTTCTAT